GAGGTCTAAATAAACTGTTTGTTGATTGAAGACCTATGGAAGGAAAGAAGCCAGGATTTTTTTAAAACCCTTTAGTGACATCAGTATACTCTGTGCTTTAGTTAGCACTCTTCTTTACAGTTGTCCTGCCTTGGTGGGCTGAAATCTCATTATGCCTAAAGCTATATCTCTCCTACTACTTTCTCTTGTTCAGTATCATTCAACATCTTTTCATTCAGTTCCTGACCCAGTCACCTCAACCTTTACAGCTACTTCCTAGGAATTAGCATCCTGGCTTGGACTTCTTCACGTTTCTGAGTGTTGAACAAAATGTCTCCTGCCTTCTTCCACGAATCCAAGGAGGAAACTCTTCAAAGTATTAATAGGACAGAGACTGAGACTAGAGGCCAGATGATCCTTTCTCAATAGCGAGAAGGCCTTGAAAGGGTAATGGGGATCGCAATTAGGAGAAAGAACAGAGCCTGGATCCCCTTTGGTTTTTGGCAAAGCAGATATGAAGAGCCTTCTGGGACTGAGTCAGCTGGTATAAGGCAGGGAATAGGTACATCTTAGTGAGATGATAGATAGTGGAATTGATTCCTCTAGAAGCATTCACCCAAGTAGGCATACAGCTAGGACAAGAAGGAGTCTGGTAAATCTTATTTTGAACACCATATTTTGATCATCACTTCGTTGGGTAGCATGCGATAAGGCAGGATTTTGGTTACCTATTCTGAGTTCCAGTTGAACCAGGATGTTTCAGGAGATAGTAAGGTACCTAATGATTTCTTTTGAATTCTATGCTGGTGTTAAGTGGCAAGAAATGGTCCAGGTTTATTTCTCACATTCTGAGTTGGCTATGGTCACTGGGGCAGGGGGTGGGGGAAGAAGGATGGAGGATTTGGGGACAAGAGACCCTAGGACTCAGTGAGAGTAAAACTCTTTTTCAGAGGATTTCCTTGAGAGCTATAATCCTCGAGTTTGAGTTTCCTCTGCCTGCTGGTGAAAGACAGATATTTTGAGGGTAAAGGCCTTTGATCTCCATCTCCAAGTAGCCATTCCTCGTATCGAAAACCCCAGAGGTATATCCCCTTCCTAGTCCATTGTGTAGTATGAGATCCGAGAAGATTGTAGCCTGCCAGACTCTATGGATATATAACAGGGTGAACACGGCATGGGACTCAGAACTGATGGACTGGGACTCTCCAACATCTGTTTGCCAACCTTTACTTACTGTGTTCTTTACTCCTAAGTTTTGTATCCCAAGGCCTTGGAGTCAGGAGAACCTGAGTTCAAATCTGGCCTCAGACACTTGACACTTACTAGCTGTGTGACCCTGGGCAAGTCACTTAACCCAATTGCCTCACCAAAAATCAAAAATAAAAAAGATCTAGACCATCTTTCCTGCTTGAAGTACAGTATCTTGTCTTGGGTTTTGCAGCAGAGCTTAGGAAATGAGCAGCATCCCCTTCACTTGGGGGGGGGGGGGTGCTGTTCTGCTGCCATGTGGGTACAGATTGTGTGGATGGTTTTGGTATATCTCCTTCAGGGGTTAAGAAGAGGCAAACATTAGGCGCAATTCCTCAAGAGGTTTGACAGGGGATCTCAAGCTGGCATTGTACTCAGCACGTCTGAAAAAGTCTTAAGAAGTTGATGTTAGAGGCAAGCATTCACATTACTTTCAGATTGCGGGATATCCAGGGCTGTGGTCACTTTCCATAGATGGATGGAGTAAGTATTTATGAAAGATATAGTATGTGTGCAGCATGGTGTGCTAAGTGGTTGTCAGTGTTATCTCCTTTGATCCTTGCAATAACCCCAGGCAGTCTCAGTTATTATGACCCTTATTTTACATTTGAGGAAATGGAGACAGACAAGGTAATTGAGTGTCAGTGTAAGGGGTTGGTGCACTCATACTGCCTTTCTGACTTCATCTTTTGCCTGCTATTTCCTTGCTAGGTTTTTCAGGACATGGCCGGGGTGGGGGTGGGGGATTGGGAAAAGCTGGAAGGTCCCTTTTGATGGGCTCAGCAGCCAAAGGGAAAGACCTTAATGAAGAGAAAGCTTTCTGGTGTAATTGGAAGAGAAAACTAGGGTTTGAGGGTTGAGAAGTGGGTGTTGGGGCTGAGAAGAGAGACCCTTTCATGCTAGGATGTTAGCTGATCAGGGAGAGGTTCTTAGGGGGAGCTTCATGGAGCGTGTCCCATGTCTCACAGGGAAAGGCTAGAAGAACTGTAATGGGGCCTGTTCCATGAGATTCGAGTCCCATGGATACAGGCATTGGCTTCTCCACTTGTCTCTACCTAATTAAGTTGTCCCTGGGTCTAGGGCATGAAGGAGCCTGGCCTTTACAAAGCCCTTTGGCCACATCTGCTCATACTTATTCCTTTTCCCTCTTTATGGAGGTTCTGTACCTAGAATGGCCCAGTGAAGGGCCTCTTGGGTTGAAGCTAAACGGTGACTCTCACTGATTCTCTGTGTAATCAGGATACTGTCATGGAGCTTGCCATGTAGTATGTCAAGGACTGTGTCTGTGGGAAATTAAAAATAATAAAGACTTGGGTGCTAACAAATAGATTTGCCAAAATTCATCAATTCTAATCTCCGAGTTCCTGATGCTTTTCTGGAAGTCATATTTCCAATTTTGTGGCCGAAGCCTCATGATAGCGGCTCCACCTGAACTGGGATGCATTTGTGTGCACTGGAGTTACAAATAGATTTGCCAAAATACATCAGTTCTGTGCTTTAGGCTTAACCTTTCAGTTCCTGATCCTTCTCTGGAGGTCACAAACCCATTTTGTTGCTGAAGCCTCCTGGTGTTGCCTCTATCTGACCAGAGATGCATTGTGGGAAAAACTAGGCTTGCCAACATCCATCCATTCTGTGCTTTAGTCCTAACCTTCGAGTTCCTAATTCTTCTTTGAAGGTCACATCTCGCATTTTGGGGCCAAAGTCTTGTGATAGTGGCTCCATCTGAACTGGTATTCATTTGTGTGCACTGGAGCTACAGATTGGTTTGCCAACATCCATCCATTCTGTGCTTTAGTCCTAACCTTCGAGTTTTTGATGCTTCTCTGGAGGTCACATTTCCTATTATGGGGGTAAAGCCTCCTAGTAATGACTCCATCTGAACTGGGATGCATTTTTATGCACCATAGTTACAAATACTTTAGCCAACATCCATCCCTTCTGTGCTTTAGTCCTAACCTTCGAGTTTTTGATGCTTCTCTGGAGTACACTCGAGTATTTTGGGTAGAGCTTGTGCTGGTCCCTCCATGTAAACTGCCATGAGATTTTGAGTGCCATGTTGACGGGTTTGCCAGAATCAGCAATTTTGTCACCTTGTCTCTTTTCAGGATTCTGCCTTGCGGTTTTTTATTTAATTATAGGATATGAGGTAATAAAATATTCTTGCCTAGGTGATAAATGGGATATCGTCCCTGGAACCCCAAGTTTTGCCTGTATAGAATAAGGGCAGGAAATAATTCCTCATGCATAGGAAGTTATAGAAATCCTTTTGGTCTGACCTTGAAACCTAAACTTTGTTGCCCTCCTGTTGTAATGGTAGACTGTGATTCCTTTGAATTCAATGCCAACTAGTCTCACCGTTTCTCTGTTTCTAGCCATCCCTTTTGATTCAGGACCTTGTGCTGTTTATCTTTATATTGGTTGGGGTTTGAAATCTCAATGTATTCTGGCTACCCACTCTGTATTCCTGTTGAAATACCAGGATGTGTTTGGGTCTTGACAGAGAGAGTTCACCACAACTACCCTTCTTAACCATTGAATTCCTCCTGACTGTGTGCAGTCACATGCTCTTGGTCACGATACTACTCTCTCATACTTCTTTTTGGTGTCAGGACGCCATTTAAGACAAAGTATTTATGTTAAAGATTCTGGCTTCAAGGTTGAAAGAAACGTGGGCCATGTTCACTGGACACCTTAGTATTGGGGCTTAAGGCAAAGGGTAGGAAGGATGTGGGAGTTGACAGGCCATATGACTACATCCATTCATCTGTCCTTTGAGGTATTCTCTCTTGCCTCCATGACAGGCCTTTGCAGCTCCATTCAGAACTTGAGTTTAGAATATGTGTGTAGAAAATGGAAATCAATCTCTTTTATCCAGGAACTTGTTTGGTAGGTAGAGACAACATGGAATCTCTTGGGTTATGCTAACATTGGGCACCTCTCTATGGGACGTAATGACAAAATAAGTTTCCTGCTCCCTTCTGTGAATCTAGTTAGAACAGCAGGCTTTGGGCGCTTGTCAGGAGAACAAAGGCTATGATTCCTTAGATTATGAGAATAGGGAGGGCCTTCCAGGTAGGGAACTAGTGGTGAAGGCTCCCTTTTGTATCAGGGAGAGGGCTTTCTAGGAAATCTGGAGAGCTTTGTTTAGAGAATGAGCAGAATCTTCTTTGTTTGGGTTTTTCTGCTTGCCAGGCACAGTTCAGGAAGAATGTTCTGGGACAGAATCCATCAGTGACTCATAGGTTACCAGGATGTGACCCTTTAATGGAAAACTGGACTTGGGTGTGTAGTATGTTCTGGATTATGGACTGCAGACCTGTCTTCTCAGGATGAGCCCAAGAGGGAAAGGGAAAGTTTGGCCCTTACACTGTCACTTCTTGGCTAGTATCTGCAGTTTGGGTGCCTTGTATTGTATTGTGTTGCTGGGATCCAGGAGAAACCAATTACAGTGTTTTTTTTCGCTCTGTTTGCAAAGCATGTTTTCAAATTTTTTTCTTCACTTGTCAGACCAGTTGTTATACCATATTGATATACTATTTTAAGACAAAATTAGTACCATGAATATTCATAACTTTGAATTCTGGTGCAAAATTATTTCCATTCCACTAGTATACTTCCAGTTTCCAGTCTGCCTACTACAGAAGGGGACAAGATTATTGAGAATGCTCTCTGTGAGCCATTTTAGGGAAATAAGAAAAACACTGAGCAAGCCAAAGGCCAGTCATTGTAGTGTGTTATGTGAATTTTCTATAGTGTAGCACTGGTACATTCCAGCATCCCTATAGAGACTGGTCACTCAACCTTTTGCTGAGGATAATGAGATACTGCATGGAGTCAACTCATTAAAGAGACAATGACTGATAACCCATTGTCTGTAAAAGGGGTATCTTTGGGATCAGGAGGAAGAGTGGATGCTGACCAGCTTCCCAGTGCAAGACTCTCATTACCCAAAGCTGAACAGCTAACTTCTCAAGGGAGCAACACTTGATACCTTACCTACCGTACATGCCATTATAACACAGAAGTGCTTGTGTCTACCAGAGTGTGACATAAGTGTTTATAAATTTTGTTACTTTGAATGAATCATCTTTGTCTCAGTTGTCTTTGAATGACTGACTGTAGAAGAAATCGAATGATGAAGGATTGTGAGAAATGATGTGAAGTAGGAAGAAATGGAGGGACCCTAAGGTACCCCTACTATTGATGCACCGGCAGAAGATGGAGGTATGCTGGTCTGAGATGGCAGCAGGTGTCTGTAAGAAGTGTGAGATTTCTGCTTAGTGTGCTTCTGACCCATGTTGTACATTTGGAGAGTATAAATACCAGCAAACTGCTGGAGTTCTGCAAGCAATCCGGAGAAATACTTTCAAATATAAAGGAAAGAAAATTTACATAACATGACTATTTAGCATCCACCAAAAATGCAAGAAGAAATGGAATAATGTGTTCAGAAGAGCAGTGGAACTCAGGATGCAGCCCAGGGAGCTCTATCCTGCCAATTTGAACTTAACCATAAATGAAAGAAAATGGACATTCAATAATAAAGAGGTGTTTGCAACATTTTGAGGAAGAAAACCAGAACTGAAGAGCTGATTTGCTTCTTGAACACTCCAGCCAATGAAGATGCAGAAGTGAATTAATTCAGCAGCTGAGGACAACTGCAGCTGAGGGACAGCAGAGAGACCAGCAAGAAACTTCTTTCTAAATGCACACAAGGAGACCAGAGAAGGCAGAAGTCTGGTGGAGGTTGCAGTGGAAAGGTGGGCCTGGAACATTATGAACAAAGCCTAGTAACACCCTGACTACAGGCGAATCAATTTTTTTGTAGGACTAAAATATAATTGGGGAGGATATGTGAAGTGGGGGAGGGGAGCTGGGGGATAAAGAATAGTGTGTGATGTGCTTGGGTCAAAACAAGAGCTAGCAATGAGGGGAAGGTGACTCCTATGCTCTCAGCAGGAGAAGAACTTGCAAGGGAGTGGGTGAGGAGGATGGAGGAAGGACTGGAAAGGAAGAGAAAAGGAGGAGGCCTTGCCTTGGTGGTGGGAGGGAGTTTTACTGATGAATATGCTCTTATGGGTGAAGAGAGATACACTGTGAAGGAAGCTAGGGACCTTGGGCTGGATATAGTCTGGGGGATTTGGTACGGTCCACTTATCCTACATTGGGAAGGAGGGTGGAGTGGGAACTCGCAGGTAACTGGCACTTTGGGAAGTGGAAAGGAAGAGATTTTGAGAGAAATGGTGAAAAATATGTCAACAAGAGAGGGTAGAGATCATTGGTGGGCTGCATAATCAGGGATGTGGTTGAGAGGGTGCTACCATGGAGCAATGTCCTTTCTGACACCTTCAGGAATTGGCATTGTTCTGGGAAATCTATGGGGCAGGCCCCACGAGGCACTGGCAGAATCTGTTCAGAGGGGAGAGCCTAGAATGAAGACTTTCGTAGTTTTGATTGCATGAGGAATATAGAGAATAGAGACTAAATAATTATAGGAATAATGAGCCAGACAATGAGGGTCTAGGGTAGACAGAGAGGATGGATAATGAAAAGATTTCTGTAAAGGGGTACAAAAATTAAATTTAAAAGACTAATAAACAGGACTCGTTGAAGGGGAATAAAGGAAGGGGGAATCTACTTGACTGAGAGGAAAAAAGGGGGTGCAAAGAATTATATAGCCAGACAAAAAGTAGGAGAGAAAAAGGAACAAATATATACAACTCCAAAGGGAAAGAGGTAACAAATGAGCTTAAGGGGTTTGGGGTGAGGGAAAGAGAAGGCAATCTTATGGAACAGATTAAGGTAAAGTAAGTGAAGGAAAATAATACTGTGTTTACAGCAGAAGAGGAAAAAATGATCACTTGAAAAAAACCCTAATATTAGAGACAGATAAAGAAAAATTTAAACTACTCTCAAAAATTTAAATGTGTTGGATTAAACAAACCATCATATGAAAGAGTGACAGATTGGATAAAGAAAACCATCACATTGCAAGTAGCTCAAAGTCTGAGTAACTTACCAATGGCTGCCTTTCATAGAATGTATTACAACCACCTGTTCCCTATTGGGAAGTTGGTGATTCTCCTCGATGAGCAGAAGAAAAGAAGCAGAAGAAAAGAAGAGGGTCAGCCACATGGACTCTGAGAACAAAAACCCCTTCACCAGTTGCAGTGAGACTGTCAGAGTTAAATAGAAGACAATAATTCAGATGAGGAAGAAACTAGTGAGTTAGGTAACTCAGCTGAGGTCATCACAGCCCCAGGGGGCCCTCTTTTCAGTTAGAGTAAGTAGACTGAACCCAAAGACAGCACCCTCATAAGCTAACACTCCTATTGTGTTGGTCTCTTGGGAATAAAGGACACCTATGTTGTTCTAGTCAACCTTGGCCACCTCCAAGTCCAGGACTGGCATGATCAGCTGGCATGTCTGTGCTTGCTGACAGTCATATGGGGCCACCTATAAGCTCAGTAGGAATGCCAAAGCTATTTAGCCATTAATGAATCTTATGATGTTTCAGCAAAAATATACATGGTTAATTATGTAATCAGACAATGCACATTGCTAGAATACACATCACGTATGTTTTATATGTAATTGTAACATTTGTTGTATATGACATGTTTCACTATTTAATGTCCTCCTACTTCTGTATCACACACATATAAATATTTATGCCAGGGTGCAGTTCTATGCATGTTTTTTGCTTTATGGGTATATGCTGGATTTCTTCATGTGACCTATGTCCTTGGTTACTATAGGTAACTCTTGTATGTGCTATATGTCAATATGTTATATACTGCATGAGACTTCTATTCTTGGTTATACATGCTATGATTACATTCACTGTATTGTGTCTCTCCTATCTACTGCGGCTAGCTCCATTAATTTCTAATGTGAATATCAGTATTAGGTATCTGCATGTGCATTTTGCTATGTAGGTATGTTATTGACAACTGTATTATATGCTAATTTCCATATGCTATCTATAGATATTATGTTATAATACATAGAATTTTCAGGAGCTGCAGATTCTTCACTGTGGGGAAAATGTAGAAATGTTCAAATCCAGGAGGTTGGTTTTTGTTTTGTTTTGTTTTGCGGGTCACACTTGCGTGCAAAAAGTCATGATTTGCAGCAAAAGATTTGAGCTTCCCAGCAGCTCCGCCTAGTCTTTTTTTTTTTTTCAAACCTTCCCTTTTCACTTGTATGGCAAGACCCAAAAGGATCTTGGGGAACTGAGGGAAAGCATGGTACCTCATCCCCATGTAACTCTTGCGGGATATCTTTGGCAAATCACCAAGAAATAGGTTTTTGGGGCACAGGATCCCCATAAGGGGTACAGCCTCAAGTCAGACAGAGGGTTAGAACAGAGATCTTAATCCCCTTAATAGGAGGAAGTGTTTAAAGATAGACTTAGTCTTAGCCTGAGGACACCATGTCTGAGTTTATTTGGACCACTTAGAAGGGTGTGATGACCACTGCCTACTTAACAGCTATCAGGCTGCCCTTAGAAGAAGGCTTTCTAATCATTGCCATATAACAAAGAGAAGCCAAGATGGCCAGCAAGCTCTATGGAGAGATGAATCTAAGGAGCAAGTAGCAGAGAGAAAGCCAGCAAGTTTGAAACCAGCAGAGATACATGAGGATATGGTATCCAGCAGGCCCAGTGAGAGCAGAGTGAAGATAATAACAGGATCAGCAGGCCTGCATCATCAAAGAGGCGAGTTGCCTCTCTACCTGTGTGTGTGCCTTGGCCACATGGATTCCTCATATTTGTGCTTTGGCCAGACATAGAACTCTAACCCTAGTCTCTAACTCTAATCACATGCGGTCTTTACGTCTTCTCTTCTCACATAAATGACACAGATTCTCTGTTAATAAAAATAAGGTATATTGGAGTAGTACAATGAGTCCATAGGACTTTTTTTTTCTTGATGTATTCCAATTAGGACCCAAAGAACCTAAAATCATCTTAGGCAGCAAATACTTTTTTTCTTATCTTACAATCCAAAGTACAAAAGATGTGTTGTAATACCTCTTTTGTCTAGAGAAATTATTCCCAATGAAATTGGCGGTTTCACTTAGTCATTTATGCAGTCTCCACCATGTGAAAGGAACTGTACGATGTTCTAGGGTGGGATTTATGTTGGGAGGAGATACATAGATTTCATAACACATGGTCCCATCCCTCAAGGGCCTTAACTAAGTCTCTTTGGGGAGCTAAAGCATGTGGAAATATGCTAACATGAGGCAGCAGCAGATGACTGGTGATCAAAATGTGACACTAACATGAGCTTAGAAGAGAAGGCTCCATGGAGAAGAAGGCATTTTTTGCTAGGACTTGAGGAATGATATGGGTGGAGGGCAGGCACAATATACAATTAGAAGCAGCATATATGAGGGAAGTCATGGCCAAAAAACTACCCTCAAAAATGCCTTAACTCCATAGCATATAGTGTCTTTGAATAGTTGTAGCCAGAAAAGGGCTGGGATGTCCTTAAAAGAAAGCAGTCTATAGCAGAGAGCAGATGGATCTGAGACGCTTGCTATGGAAACACTTTAATGTAAATTTCATTTTTCACTAGACCCAGCTCAACTATTGATGAGGAGTGAGGCTAAACCAAGATGTCTACTAAAATAGAAGAAGGGAAACAAGGTAAAGACTTAGCAAGCTGGATAAACTGATGATTGGGGCAAAAATACTATGGAAGGAGCTTCACTCAGTAGGTATGAGATTATACTGGAGGGTGTTCTTACCACTAGGTAACTGTTTCTTCTTTCTGTTCATCCTGATACAAGAGAGGGCGCAGTGAAATAGAAGGCAAGATGGCAGGGATGTTTGAAGGCTGATCCCTTGGAAGGAGCTCTACCAGCCTGAGCAGAATGAATAGACTGGCTCTGGAGAGAATCAGGTGGGCATTCTATACCTAGGGGGAGAGAGGAGGGGTACAAGTTGTTCACACTATGAGAGGCACAGAAATCTGGGATCCATAGAGGGAACAACAGATTCATGGACACTCATCTCATGTTCACTCTTGGGTGAGAATTGCCTGTACTATTTGCATTGTTATTTCTCTCTTTTTAAAGAAGTTCCCCATAGAGTAAGGATGCTTCAGAAGCTTCCTTTGAATGCCCAACACCATCCCTCTCCTCCCTTAAAACACAAGAAATAGCCTCTTCTCCTGAACCTATAGATGGGCCTCTCTGCCTTTAGGAGTCACAGAGAGAAGTGATCCCATTACACAGTAAGTAGTTAGCAGTCTGTCACTGTTTCCAATGGCTATAGCAATTTCTGACAGTCTCAGGGATCAGATCTCCCTGCCCAGCTATTCGGTGCAGGCCCTTTGCATGGGAAAATAATATCAACACAGCCCTGGGAGATAGGGGGTGCAAGGGTCCATAAAAGAGACCAGGCATTCCTGGCACCCAAGATTTGGAATGTGATTGACCATGACCTGGCCTTCACCCTGGTCTGGGGAAGGAACCAAGAACACAGTGGGCTGCATGGGGCCTGAAGTATGTATGTCTCATGAGTCAGATCAGAGAGGCCGGGACTAGTGACTTGGGGTTTCTGAGTATAGTTTCTCCCCTATAATCAATGCCCAGCCAAGTACTTTCCTTCCAATTGTCCTTCACTGTGAGACATTCAGTAAATTCATTCAGTGGAGAAGCAGCAGTCTGTGTGTTTGGACAAAAGGCTTCCTTCTGGTGTTTTACCAGTTAAGAGGCCCAAGAAATTGCCTCTGTTCTCTCTCATGATTCTTTCTTGCTAGTCCTGCAGTGACCATTGGGGTCAACAGGACAAAGCCGTCTAGCTCCACTGAAGGACAGAGGGCCAAGACACAGTCTCTCCTTTTCAACTGCAAATTCCTGAGGGCTTCCCCCCACACACATTGATAACTTTAAGCATAACCTCTGCCCTGGGGGCAGAGGGGCAGAGGGCTGGGCCTCTCGATATTGTCTGAGGGTAAAGGAATGGCATAACTTATGTGCCTGGATAATAAAAGGTTTACAACAAAAACCATCTGGAATGTCAATCTGTCTTGTGCACTAGACAGCACCTGGGGATTAGGAAGGAGTTGTTTTGTTGTTAAGTCGTTTTTCAGTCCTGACTCTTTGTGACCTCATTTGGGGTTTTTCTTGGTAAAGATACTGGAGTGGTTTGCCATTTCCTTCTCCAGCTCATTTTACAGCCGAGGAAATTGAGGCAAACTGGGAAAAGTGTCTTGCCCAGGGTCACACAGCTAGTGTCTAAGGCCAGATTTGAATTTGGGATGATGAGTCTTCCTGAGTTCAGGCCCAGCGCTCTGTGCACTGTGATGCCACCTGGCTGCCTTGGAAGGAGAGAAGTGCCTTATTCCTCTTTCAGTAGTCCAGGAAGATTCTTTTGGGTCCAGCCTAGTATCTAGGAATGCACTGGCTTATTCAGAGGTTGAAGTATTGGGGCCCCCTGATCGAGGGGAGGTGAAGGTGGGAGGGCAGAGGAAGGGAAGAAAAATGGGGAAGAAGAGAGGCCCTGAATAGGGTAGAGATACTACTTTCCTATATCCCAGCTCCTCTTCTCTGTGATTTTAGACTTAACACCAGTACCTTGGACATCACCAAAGAAACAAGGAGAGCAACTGGGCGTGTGGGGGAGCTCCTGCTGGTGGCCTAGGTTGGTGGTATCTTCTCTGTGATTGAGCTTTAGAGAGTTGCCCAGAGCACTGAAATGAGAAGTGACTTATCCAGGGTCATGAAGCCACTGTGTCAAAGCAGGGACTGGAACCCAGGGCTTCTTTGCTCTGAGGTAATTTATCTCCTATTCCTTACTGCCTCTTGAAGCATGTAAATATTTTCAAAGAGCTTTGCTTAAAACAACCCAAGGAGATAGGTTGATCGGGTATTATCACCCCCATTTTACATAAGAGAAAGTTGAGGTTCTGAGATGTTAGGTGAGATTCCAATAAGGTCAGTGATTAGCTCAGGGTCTCATAGGAGTTAGAATTAGGACTCCAGCTCATGTCAGTCTCTAACAATGGTTCCAGTACTCTCTCCCCTTCTATCACCAGTCCAAGATTACATAGAACCTGGCTTCATAGGTACAGAAATTTAGTGATGGAAGGAATCCTAGAGGCCAATGAGTATAACATGTGAAGAAGTTGAGGCACAGATACAATAATTGTCTAAGGTGGGATTTGAACCCAAGTCTTAGTGACCCCTAAGTCTACTGCCTCCCCATTCCAGATGAGGAACATGTGGTGTGGGATCCCAGGTGCCCATCTCCAGGGATTTCAAGAAGATTTGGCAACAGGAAGCTAGAGGATTGTCAAGTTCAAAGCTGGAAGGCTTGTGAGAAGTCTCCTCGCCCAAATTTTAGATCTTGGGGAGTGGAGAGGAAAGAGTGCTATTTCTCTCGGGGTTTAGGCTAGGAAGAGAACTTTATGATTTCATGAGACAGCATCATTTAAATTAGAGGCTCAGGGTTGCAGAGCCATTGCTTGGGCATTCTAGTGTGATGGCTTACCTTGAGGAAAAAGCCCTCTGAATTTTTCTTTTAACTGAATCTTTAATTGAATAAATTCTTCCCTCCCATTCCCTATCCCCCCCAATCCCTTTACAAATTCTAATTCCCCCCCCGGCCCCCCGGTCACCCAGTAGGAGAAAGAAGGCACAACAGACCTCTAGAGACTGGCCAACTGAGGCCACAGAAGCAGTTGGAGACCCTATATGACTCAGCTCAAGCCCTTGGGAATCTCATTTTTCTTTAAGAGGCTCTGAGGGACTGTCCCTGACGGCTTGCCACAAAAGGCAAGGAGCAGGACAGAGCAGGAGCAGACAACAGTGAGGTTTATCTCTTTAAAGATACTTCTTCCAGGTCCTCGACACAGAAACTTGCTACTGATTCTCTCCAACATTTCTCATGTCCTCAGCTCAGTTGAATTTGAACTAGAATGGGGCACCCAATGCTTGACTCACTTGCTATCTTTTGGTAGCTAGAAACAACTTATCTTAGGAAGAATGATTAGTTAAAATAGGAAGCTATCCACTGGCTGACTTCCTTCCTCTGTCTCTCAGGCCACGTTCCAAGTAAAGTCCCTCTTGAGTGAACCCTGCTGATCTCCACCATCTCAGCTGGCCACATGTCCTGAGCAATTCATCTCATTTGGCTTGAGAACAAAAATGGTTAGCCAACACTCTGCACCTCATTTATTCCTTGTAACTCCTCAGTGGGGGGCAGCCCAGGCAGCCAGACTGCTGGGCCCAGAGGTGGGACAGCCCAAGAAGACCTAAGCGAGCATTTGTTACTTTTCCCTCTAGAGCACCCATCTGGACTTTATGCCTTCATTTCTTGAAATCCCACAGTGTAGGGCAGCTAGGTGGCGCAGTGGATAGAGCACCAGCCCTGGAGTCAGGAGGACCTGAGTTCAAATGTGGCCTCAGAAACATAACACTGACTAGCTGTGTGACCCTGGGCAAGTCACTTAACCCCAACTTCCTAAAAAAAAAAAAAAGAAAAGAAAAGAAATCCCACAGTGCTGTCCTAGAAGAAATGGCCATGGTTGATTTTTCTCTTAGCCAAGTGATCAAGGCTAGTGAGAAGCTAAGGCATGAATATCCTGAAATGTCTTTGGGCCTTCTCTACCCAGGCCCTCTGGCATGGAGGGGAATGAGAGGCCATAAGAAAGCAACTGGTTTGGCCTTTCACCCCCGATAGTTACTTGCCTGCCCCACAGCTAAAAGCTTCACACAGGGCAGAACTCGAGGAATTGGGTCCTATTGGCCTTAATGCATGACTCCATGATACCCTTCTCTCTCCACATAACTTTAGAATTTTATGACAGAACTGCTCAGGGCAAACTCAGCAGCTGTTAGGGCCCACATAGTGCATTCTCTTGCCTCCTGAAAGGGCTGCCTGGTCCATCTGTGTTCAAAGCCTAGGAAGCTGTGGGGTGGGTGGGAGGAGGGGATGAGGAGCTTGCCCTCTGGGCTCTGGGCTTCCCTTTTCCATTTGCTGTGACTGAAATCCAAACGAAGGCAACCACTGGGACCAGCAGAGCTGACCAGTGTCTGCCATGGGAGACCAGCAGGGAGTAAAACAGGGATATCACTGAAGACAGGGGTGGTCTTGCAGCACTGGTGGCACTGGCCACGTGTGTTTCCAAGGAAAGAGAAAGGTGGGATAAAATAAAGGGTCTCTCTTCCTTTCCAGCTCTGCTGGCTGACCTCGGGCAGCATTTGCCCAGCCTCTGTCCAGATGCAGCCAGTGATTCCAGAAGATTCCCTTAAAGATAGCCATTTTCAGGGTCTCTGTTGGGGAGCTACTGGAAACATGAGCTTGTCTCCGTTCAGTACAAATCCTTTTCGCCACCTGATTGTGGTTCTCAGTGTCACTGTTTTCGTTGTCGATGACTGTACATGCTGCCAGTTTCATGACTAGTTTAGTGTTGCAAATTTTATGTTATAACTATTCGAAAAAAAAAACTAAGGCCAACATGTTTAAAAAGAGTTAATGGGTAGAAAAATAGAGGGAGGCCTTGTTCTTAGGGACCAATCTTGATTATGAGTAAGGGCACTATAGGAGTGTTTAAATGTCCTGAAAAAGAGTTGGAGAGATGTCATTGGAGGTGAATTACCAGGTTCAGTTGATCATTTAAAAATTCTTGATAGCATGATAGTAGGGTATAATGCTCAATATTGACCTCTTAGTTACTTCCTGAGGAGTTAATTTTTAAAAATGGAAGAGTTTATGCACCAGGGTGGTAGGCCTGGAGAAGTGGTAAGAGGCATGCTTAAATCAGAGAAAGATGCTTCACATGTTGGGGTGCTGATGGGGATTCTCTATGTCACAAGAAATATTAGAAGCCCACGTTAGGAATCTTCTCAGGGCGGGATTTCTGTTCTGCCAGGGAAGCTTCAGTAGAGGTTTGGTCCTAGGTGTGCTACAGTATTATTAAAAGGCTGGTGGACAAAATGAGCTAGCTGAAATGCAATTTAGTTGTGTCCAAGGCCTCACTTTGGAATTTGTGAGGTCTTTGAGAGCAGGAAGCCTGAAATTGCCTATCCAGCATGCTTGCAAAAGCTTGAGGGGCCCTAGGGGCCTAGCCTCTGTGCTGAGAGAGTTTTTACTCAGCAACACCATTTACCACAAAGCAGAATCACCATTCAGGTTTGTGCTGCAACTAGACAGACAGCCTTCTCTCAAGATTGGTGAAAACTGAGTGATAGAACCTGAGAGATCAAACGTGGTCAGAAGCCTCTAAGGGTGGAGTGAAAGGCCGAGGCGACAAATGCCCTATCAGTCAAGAAGCATTTATTAAGTGCTTGCTGTCTGATTTGTGCTAAGCGCTAGAATCAACATCTGACCTGTGAACAGTTAATAGAAAATAAAACTATTTGATTGAAGGCCTTAAAAGTGTGCTCCAAAGCATTTCTTCATATATGGGCTACAGAAGGACAGTAAGAGTGTTCCTCTTGTAACATAGATCTGAAATCCTAGGCAGAACAAATGCATGTTTACAAAGAAATCAGGATATTCATATTGTATATATAAGGAGACAGCTAGATACTGAAATCATTTATCACTCTGATACTAAAGAACTATTAAAAGATATTCAAAACAAAACTCTACACTGAGATAGCTCAAGAATGTCAAGGCCTTGTTTTTCAGTCAGCTCCTGGAAAAAGGGTTGCCTTGAGTACAGAAGATACTGGATAAAAAAATCCCCCATCGATTTGTCCAGGTCTGAGAAGTCCTTCACTTCAAACAAAGGGGGTAGTAGCTTTCCTGTCTTAACACCTTCTCTGCGGTGACCTCCGGCATAAAGAGACAGCATAGAAAGCTTCAAAATACTGCTAGTGAGCCTATGTAGAAAGATCAATGTCTATCCTCTGACTAGGCTAAATTATTGTATTTGCAGAGAAGTGCTTGGCTTCTCATGCAGCCAAGTAGAAATCGTCGTTGAATGATAGCAAATGTTGCTTTGTAATTGTTTTCTGTGCTCTTAGGCACTTAATAGGAATTTCATGTTACTTTGCACAATGGTTTATTATTGTATTATGCTTTATTAAGATCTATTTCATGTTTATTTAGTGTCACGCATGCTTTATATGCCTTTATTATTTGCTGATGTTGCATTATTTTTCTTTTTTGAATATAATGTTGCAATACACGTGGCTGTTACGTTCTGTCTATATTTATTTACACTTAATCCATCAAACGGTACTTTACATTGAGATCCACGTAATGCAAGATAGAGTATTAGTGTAGGCTGCATGTACCTTAGCTGAACAATTGAGGGCCCAAACAACTTTTGGCTGAGGAGAAGTGTAATTCCAGCCTCAATAAGGACTTGAAATTTGTACTAGTGGCAGTTTAGCTGTGATCTGGAGACTGTTAATTGTCTTGACTAGACACTGTTCACTGTGATGGATGAAGAGAGGCTGAAGGGAAAAAAAGACCAACAGACTGCATTTCCTGAGAGACTGAGCTTAACTCTTATCTTGTGGATACGCTGCAGAGAAGATATTTTGAAGAAAATTTTTTTAACAGCCTTTGATGGCCATTCTGAAAGACCTGAATGGGGGGATTCTGTTTCCAGATTAGAGAAATCAACAGTTGCTGTTTCTTACCATAATGCACTATTGAAATACTTCAGTGTTTTTTATTGTTTGTTATACTGGCAATAAATTGTAGAGAAAGCAGCACTGATGTTTATTTAAGCTTATGAGACTGGGGTTGCGGAAAAAAAAAGGAAGGACAGAGAAAAGTTATGGGAAAATTAGTTTCTTGTGTTTATTTTATAAACCCGGGTTGTTGACTCAGCTAATTGATGAATGAGAGAGGTGAGAACCGATAAGAGTCAAGTAGTGTGCTGTGAGGGGTGGGGGTTCTGGGTGGTTGTCAACTCGTGCAGTGATGCACACTTAGGTTACAAGTGCCAGTGGTTATCCTTAAGCCTCCAGACACGTTAAAAGATTTCAGCCTCACAGCAACCTGTATTATCCTGATTTTACAGATGAGGAAACAGTGGTTAAGAAATAGAAAGTGACATGCTAGTTAGCCAGTGAATATCACAATCGGATCGAATAAAAACCATATCCTCCAATCCCCCAGACAGGGAGATGCTTTTCCAGCCTTCAGAGGTCAAAACCTGGGGATCTGAAGAAGGGTCAGGAGCAATGAAGCTTTTCCTCTTCAATTCTGCCAACTGTCCCTCAATATTCCCAGCCGTCCAGGGGGCTGTGAGGATGGAGCTGGGACTTAGAATGGCTCAAGCACCACAATACATGGAAAGTACTTTGTCATATTCTCAGCTCTTGAATCTGGCTGAAGTACTGTTGGGGTTGGACTTCGGGGGAAGGATAAATAGCACAATGTTGCGCTTTGTGCAGGGTTTTGGTTCCTAAGTGATCCTGTCTGACTCTTTGTGACCCCATCTGGGGTTTTCTTGGCAGAGATACTGGAGTAGTTAGTCATTGCCTTCTCCAGCTCATTTTACAGATGAGGAAACTGAGGCAAGCAGGGTGAAGTGACTTGTCCAGGGTCACATAGCTATTGTCTGAATCCAGATTTTAACTTGAGTCTTCCTGTCTGCAGGCCTCTATCCACTGCACCACTGCCGCAAAAGAGGCTG